AAGAGAGTGAAGTGGAAGCTGAGTTGGAGAAGCTCAAAGAGGGCGTCTCCTCTTTGGAGTCCATGATCATGATGTCCAGAGCTCCCAACCTGAAAGCTCTAGAGAAGATCAGAGAGGTGAAGGACAGCTTTCGGGAAGTCATGGATGGTAAGGGACAAATATATACACGTTTTTATATCAGAGTGTGGATTACTACTAAAATTGAAGGCTGAAGTTGGGTCTCTTAGACTGTGATATGTCCTGTGACATACAGTTTGGCTCAACTGTGCTCAGATTCAGATAAAACAGAGTGGGAAGTTAATAGGGCTGCACGATAAATCGAAATGAAATTGCAATCGCGATAAGGCAAAAGCTGCGATAGTCATGAGCATCTTGTCAGTGAAGCACGGTTCTGTGAGTAGTAGTAAATCTCCATCCGAAGGTCAGAGGGTGCTCTTGCGTGGAAACTCCAAATACGCGTCTGCAGAACAAATCCAGGAAATCCATACAGTGGTAACTAAATAAACAGAAGATTAAACTACTTTCTTTGATTCAACATGACTAATAAGCACAAGACTACAACAATATATAATTTATTTGAGTTCTTACTATAATTATTCTTATAATTTTCATTATAATAAAGTATATAATAATGCAATGCTAATCGACATAGCCTTTATCACTGCTTAGAATACTATGAAATATGTTGTGTGCCTTATTCTGTTTAAGAAGCCACATCATCTCACAGAAGGATTTATTTCAAACACTTGACTGACGTTATGAAGTGAGTTTGGAGTAAAAACATGTTGCTAAATGTGGTATTTTCACGTGCTCTCAGATGGAGCCGTAGTTCACTGAGAAGCTACGCAAACAGCTGTCATTATCGCAGAACGATATCTTTGATTTCATTATTGCGCGATTAAATCGTAATCGTACGATAATGAACGCGATATTGTGTAGCTTGTCAGTGAACTGCAGCTCTGTGTAGTAAACGCTGCTCCATCTGAAAGCATGTGCTGGAGATTTACTACTAACCACAGAACCGGCTTTACTAACAATATGCGCATGACTATTGCATTCGATTAATCTTGCAGCCCTAGAAGTTAATGACAAATCAATCTAAAATTTGACCTAAAACTAAACATTTTCTCAGTTGCAGTGTTGTAATTATTTGACCTTTTGTAGGGTAGAACAGACTTGTTTAATTTTTAAATTATGCTTATTATAAAAAAAAAAAGTAGTTTGTCTTTTATATTTTGAAGTAGTAAACTAAAGTAGTAGTTTACTACTTCAAAATATAAATAGTAATTGCATTCCACCCCCATTTAGCAAGTGTTTTATAATAATAATAATATATTTGGGGAGTGGGAAGATTTTGGTTCAGTGTTAACAATTGTTAACTATAATAACCATGATTTCAGCTTAAGTTTGTTGTTGTAACTTCCATCGACATAAAACCATGATCATGTTTGTGTGCTTTTACCCCTTAATAACCATAAACCCTCTATAAATCAGCATTTGAGACCAGCACACACACCACTAAGAAATGCAGTCAGGAGTTTGAGCAAGTGAAGTCCAAACGCTTCCATCTCTTCAGCCAGTGCTTTGAACACGTGTCTGTTGTCATCGACCAGATCTACAAGAAACTCTGCAGGAACACCAGCGCTCAGGTTCATACTTGACTCTTACTTATTCATTCAGTAGCTTGTTCATTCATTTTATTGTTGTATCACACTTTGTTTGTATGCACCTGTCCTTTAGGCTATTCTAAGTGCTGAGAATCCAAATGAGCCCTACCTGGATGGCATCAACTATAACTGTGTGGCTCCTGGGAAACGTTTCATGGCCATGGACAACCTGTCAGGAGGAGAGAAGGCCATCGCCGCTCTCGCTTTGGTCTTTGCCATTCACAGGTGAACAACCACTTAAACCCTTTGACAAATTTCTTGTAAAGTAATATCTGACTATAAATAGATATGTATTTGCTGTTGGAGAAAACTGTGAAGATCATCTTCGTTTCATTTTTAGCTTTCGTCCTGCCCCGTTTTTTGTGCTGGATGAGGTGGATGCCGCCCTGGACAACACAAATATTGGCAAGGTAAGACGAGCCTCAATATTTAAAAAAGTGCTGTTCTGATATTCTCTATCTGCCATGATGAAGAGACATCGGTTTCCATGCAGGTTACAGGATTTTTCCGGATGATGTCCAGAGAGAGCTGCCAGATCATTGTGATCTCCCTGAAGGAGGAGTTCTACTCGCGGGCTGACGCTCTTCTTGGAGTCTATTCAATGGTATACACATCCACACATTCTTGCTCTGTATCACATCAATCTCATCCCTCAAACTCAATTTAGAAACCCCATAAAATCAAAGTTTTGAGACTAGGTGGTCCATGTCTGTTACCTTTGAGGTCATTTATATAGTAGTGGACTCATAAAACAAAATTCAGATATAAAAATGTACCGTGTTTTGACACATTAACAGTGTCAGTCAAATCTTACTGTTGTCAGTATTTACAATATTTTTGACCCTGGACCACAAAAGTCTTAAGTCACTTGGGTATATTTATAGCAAAAACCAAAAATGCATTGTATGGGTCAAAATTATAAATTTTTATTTTATGGCAAAAATCATTAGGATATTAAGTAAAGATCTTGTTCCATGAAGACATTTTGTAAATTTTCTACCGTTAATATATATAACAATGTAATTTTTGATTAGTAATATGCATTGCTAAGAACTTAATTTGGACAACTTTAAAGGTGATTTTCTCAATATTTAGATTTTTTTTGCACCCTTTATATTCCAGATTATTAAATAGTTGTATATCGGCCAAAAATTGTCCTATCCTAATAAACCATGCATCAATGGGAAGCTTATTTATTCAGCTTTCATGTGATGTATAAATCTCAATTCCGAAAAATGGACCCTTATGACTGGTTTTGTGGTCCATGGTCAGCATTTGTCAAAGACTTGGACACACCTGCTCATTCTACACATTTCAGTTTTCCATATTTTGTAATGATAGAGAACTATTAAACTATACAGTATAATTACCATTCAGTTTGTGTTAGTTTATGACCAAAATGACAAACAACAGCAACAACACAAATCAAAATACACGTTCAAATGTTTGGTTTGGTAAGATTTATGTTTTAATGTTTTTGAGGGAAGTCTTTTATGCTCAAAAAGTCTGCATTTATTTGATCAAAAAGTACAGTAAAAACCGTAATATTGTGAAATTACAATTTAATATGCATGTTTTCTATTTTGATGTATTTTAAAATATAATTTATTCCTGTGGCAAAGCTGAATTTTCAGCAGCCATTACTCGTACTTTTTTTTTTTCAGGACTCATTGAAAAGGTCAAAAGTTTGAAAAGAACATATTTTTTTTTAAATAGAAATCTTTTGTAATATTATAAATGTCTTTATTTTAATGTTTTATCAATTTGATGTGCCCTTGCTAAATACAAATTTTAATTCCTCAAAACATACTTACCCCCAAACGTTTGAAAGGTATTGTATGAACTCCTTCAAAACTAAAAAGAAAAAATCCAACAAAATATTAAAGGGGTCATATGATGCGATTTCAATTTTTCCTTTCACTTTGGAGTGTTACAAGCTCTTGGTGCATAAAGAAGATCTGTAAAGTTGCAAAGACTAAAGTCTCAAATCCAAAGAGATATTCTTTATAAAAGTTCAGAGTCAGCCACACCTACCTAAAACGGCTCGTTCTAACACGCCCCCACATATCTACCTCACTATGTGGGAAGATTTGCATAACACCGCCCAGATTTTCACGCAAAGAAAAGGCGTAACTTTTAGTCTCACTGTAGTTTTGTTGACGCTGCAGCCATGTCGTGAATACGCTGTGTGCTTCGTTGTGAAAGCGAAACTACTTTGTTTGGTCTTCCAAAAGAGGACGATATCCGCTTC